TTCAAAATCAGTTTTAAAAGAAAAAAATTTCGTTTTTTTAATGTTAAACATCACTTTTCCTCATCATTAGGGCATAATATAGTTGTAATTTAAACGGTTTTACTACAGCTATGATTATAAAAAAATTATAACAAATTTTCGAAAATTGGCTGCCTCGGAGCTGACCACCCTATGCATTGAATCATACTGCTCAACCGGGGCTATTTTATGTACGCGTGGTATTTAATAAATAAAATTATTAAAAAGAACCTCTTTGTCAAAAAACCATAAATAAGTTAATTAAAATCCTTAAAACTTTAACCGGTAAGCAACATAACGGCAAAAAATTAACTTTAATTAATATTTATAAGTTTTTCAAAATAGTTTTAAAACTATTTCTCTCGTTTCTCTAATAACTTGAAAAGTGTATTAGATATTAAATTGTTATTCATTTAACCTTAAAATATTAATTTCAAGTTTTTGAAAAATATAATATTCAAAACGTTTAAAAAAGCTCTTATTGAAATGATGATTCAAAGTTATTTACATGTGTTTAAATGATAGTTTTTTAATTATCATAATGTATTATTGTAAAATGTATATTTAAAAAGAAAAAGTGTTATTTATTTTCTGAGTAATATAAAATTTAAAGAAAGGTTCTTAATTTTTAATAAATCATGATTTTAGCAAAATCTTAGTGTTTTATTTTACATTTTGTCGTATAATATTTACAACATTTTTTTTAATATCTCATTCTTTTTTTAATTTACTCTGAAATATCTACACAAAAGATTTAATGAAGGAGAAAGGATCAAAAAAATGTTTACGTAACATTACACTGAGAAAACTGGAGAGTCAAATTCAGAGGTTCAAAAAGTGTATGTTTCCTTTGCTTATGAAGAGAGTTAAATAGTCCTTCTAAAATAAATTTTGAATTGATAATGGAAATCTACTTATATTCTCTCCCATTATATCTGAGGGTTAAAAGTTGCGCAGAAAATGTGTACGATCTGATGCGCGCGAAATTATTTTTCTGACATTTTATGTATTTAATTTAGGGGTTAGGTTGCCATATTTATTCATTTCGCGCCGGATAAGGAAGGGATTTCTCAAGATGGTTAATTTGTCCCTCTGTTAGAGAAATGGCACGAATATCTGTCAATGGTGAATTTGAACATTTAGATTGTTATCCAATAGCTAACTCTCAAATATGAACGATTTGTCCCCCCAGATGTTTAGTCCAATACTCCAGTTTTCTCAGTGTATAAAAAGACAAAGTTCGATGCACAAAGTAGCTTCATCCCGGGGTCTATTTTGTGCACAACTTTTAATGACTACAACTCCGACAAAAAAATTTATTTCATTGCCTAACTCATAGGAAACCTTCAGAAGGAAGTCCATAACATATGTCAAAAGTTGATTTTCTTTTAATTCTGAATTTGAATAAAGCATTGAGTTAAAAAAAGCATTTTAATGCAAAAAATAGCCCCTGCAAAAATATTTACTATCAGCTTGACATAACGAGAGAATTTCATTTACATAATACATAATACTGTGCTTCAGGCGCGGATCCACGGTGGGGCGAAAGGGGCGATCGACCCCCCCCCCAAACACACTTACTCACAGTGTAATGTTAGGTATTAATATGTCTATGCCTTCATTACTATAAGGTTTTAATTTACGAATCGCCCCCCCAAATTTGCTTCTGGATCCGCGCCTGCTGTGCTTCTGCTTGGTTGACATAAAGACATTTTAAATTAAGCACCAAAAGTAAAGGCTTTTTTTCGAATATTAAGGTATTTTTTAATGAGTCAACGGTTGCCGAAGCACTGAAATATAAAAGGACACAACTATGTCTGTCCTCTTCTATAATATGTGTTGTTGTAGCAACTGTTGATCCATGAATTTGCACCTTCACACTGTACGCCACAAGCGCCACGGAACTGACATTTTATGTGACACCACGGCGCTGACATTTGACATTCAAACTAACCTAACTCCGACAATTTTGCAAAATAAATCTTTTCTTTGGGCAGATAATTTGTTTCTAATATAATCTTCGAAAAAATCGTAATAATTACCACAGAGAGTGTTTATAGATTAAAAGAATAGTAATACCACGGTACTGACCACTTTTTTTGTGAACTTCACATTTTTACAAAAAAAATTGTTTTTAACTGTAGAACTTCCAATTTTAGAACTTTTTTTTACAGATATTTGTTGCTAATGGATCTTATTTTAGATTGTAATTCCTAAATAACATTAAAATGTGCCATAAACACTTAAATTGTAGAGAAAAATATCTTATTACAAAATTGAAAAAATTTGTGGACAAAACTATTTTACATTTTATAACTTTATAAGAAGTATTAGAAGATGCATTATATGCACAAATTGTTCACCTATATACACAATTCATATTATAAAAATGCTCGTTTCCAGTTTCGGCGTTTTCAGTAAAATTTCTAAATTTTAACTTAAAATTTTAAAAAACGGACACGCCACGGAGCTGGCATTTTGGAGGGAATTCTGCAATTTATCAAAAATTATAAGATAGATTTGTACATATTTGTGGTTGCAAATAGGTTTTATATATACCTGTAAAATGTATCCACACACAAGTAAAAATTTTTTATTTTTAATGTGTTTTCTGTGACGCCGCCAAATATTACAGTTACGTAAAAATCACCCACCTGAATTTTACTGGTGTTGCACATCACTCCAACTTTTTTGAAAAATCCAAAACAGACGTTTTTGAAAAAACGAAAAATTTGTAGGAAAAATTTAAAATTCTGAAAATCTAATAATGCAGAAATATTCTATTATAATGCCTTTAAGTCATTCAATTTTATAATATTTAAAAATTTAATTATTTGACATGTTTTTCGTCCAACGAAAAAAATCATTGCACATCACCCCACAACATCCTACATATTTTATAATAATTTTTATTATTTCTAAAAAAAATCTCTAAATCTAAATGTAAAAAACACACGTGTTAATACATGAGAAAAAATTAATACACGTGTAAAAACTTTTCCTCGTGTATTTACATGTGTAATATATGTCCAAATAAACACGTGAATATTTTCACTAGGGGCTTTTTTAAAATTAATTTTAAATTGTCTGGAATAACATTTAAATTTATTACAATCATAAACTTCTACTTAAAGTGAAAATAATATTTTTTATTAATAACATACCTATTTATTTCTTTTGTTACAAAAAATTCTTTTCTTACAATTTAAAAATACTACTCACATAAAAATGTAATTTGACATTTTTTACACACACACTAGCTTGGCCATTTTTGTAAAATTATTTAATATCAATGAGTGCCGGGCTGAAAAAGTTTCCCTTTTATCTAACAAAACAAATACAAAAATAATAAAGTGAATGTGTGAATAATTAATGGACCCAAAAACTGATTGAATGTGAAAAAAGAGATTTTATTGCATTTTTGCAGCAATTTTTAATGTTTCTTTAAAGAAAATAGTTCTTTTCTGTATAGCTATACCAAAAATATAATATATGAGGCATTTTACGTGAAATGTCCTAAGTTGAAATTTCAACTTCTTGAAAAAAATTGAAACTCGAGGAATTTGTTGTTCTATCAAGTAGAAATGTGACCCAAAAAATATTTTTGATTTTTTCGAAAAATTGGAGGGGGTAGAGGGGGGTCAATTTGACCAATTTTGCCAACATCGGCTACTTTGTGAATTTTTTCTGAACATACTTGTAATGGGAAAAATTTTTTAGAATATGTTTCTGAAAGGTTTTTTCGTCCTCTTTCCAATGGTGTATTTTATTTTTTAATATTTTAAAAATTTACCCTAATTTTTGATAATTTATATTTAATTTTCAATTTCCCAAAAATCGGTCCGTTTTTTTTTTAAATAAATTATTGCAAACGAAAGCTGAGGTTTTTTCCTATCGGCATGTAAATTTTCAGAATGCCCTTTTTTTTTGTTTTTGAGTTATTGAATTTCAAAGAATAAATTGCAGCGCGCTGCGTCGCGGTTGCACTGAGCCGCGTGGCAACCCATGGCAACCGGCGTGAGACGAGGCGCCCGGGACGCTGCGCGCCGCAATTTATTCTTTGAAATTCAATAACTCAAAAACAAAAAAAAGGGCATTCTGAAAATTTACATGCCGATAGGAAAAAACCTCAGCTTTAGTTTGCAATAATTTATTTAAAAAAAAAACGGACCGATTTTTGGGAAATTGAAAATTAAATATAAATTATCAAAAATTAGGGTAAATTTTTAAAATATTAACAAATAAAATACACCATTGGAAAGAGGACGAAAAAACCTTTCAGAAACATATTCTAAAAAATTTTTCCCATTACAAGTATGTTCAGAAAAAATTCACAAAGTAGCCGATGTTGGCAAAATTGGTCAAATTGACCCCCCTCTACCCCCTCCAATTTTTCGAAAAAATCAAAAATATTTTTTGGGTCACATTTCTACTTGATAGAACAACAAATTCCTCGAGTTTCAATTTTTTTCAAGAAATTGAAATTTCAACTTAGGACATTTCACGTAAAATGCCTCATATATATGTTACGGTCATTGTCGATTATTGGGCATTGTCGACAATGCCCGGGCACAATCGACAATGCCCACAGTCACTGGACATTGTCGATAATGCCCGGGCAATGTCGACAATGCCCACGGCCACTGGGCATTGTCGACATTGCCCGGGTATTTTTAACAAAATTTAGTAAAATGTGACAGTGACCGGGCATAGTCAGCAATGCCCGGGCAATGTCGTCATTGCCCACTTACTTTTGGGCAATGTTATTTACGATTAAAAAAAGACGATTTAATTAGAGAAATGCTTTATTTATTTATTTATTTTTGCAGGAAAGGCTGCTGTGACATTTTGATGTGCACTTTTTTATTTTTAAAACATTTGCACTTATTTTGTGCACATCCTGTCTTGCAGGCGCATCTTTCATACCCCTGAGCACCAAAAACACTGTTTTTGGAAGCAGCTTCTCTCAGAGATATTTCTCTTCACAAAACATCTTCAACCATAATTAGGTTTGCGTCGCATTTATAAAATTCGCTTCGCACGTATTTCTTATTTAGAGTTCCGTGCTCGTTTCCTGAAAAATAATATTTGATTAAAGAGTAATAATGATAGAGTTACAACACGAAATTTGTAAGCCACAAAAGACACCTACCCAGAGTGTAATAATCATTGTCAATGTTAATAATTGCTGCTAAAACGTTTCGTGGTGTACCCCTAGCCCTGTCCACATCAGGAATTGGTATTTTAACCGTAGACCCAATGGAAACAGTCGTTAGGTTTTGAGCAGATAACTTCAACATTTTTATTGCTTGCCTTCCCAAGATCTCTCTTGCATTTTCCCTGTTTTCCGAAATGGTTCGAAGTCGTTTTTTTATTGGAGTCTCTGAAATTATAATTAATTTAAAGAAATATGTTATTTAATATTAAATATTAATAAAAAAATTTTGTATAAATAAGTATTAATAATTTAAAACTAATATTATCAATGTTCAAAATAACAATAATTTGCTGTTAAAGCATTTTAGTACTATTCATTTACTTTGTAACTAATGTTTGAAATTAATAGATTCTTTATTATCATATTTATTATAACTACCAGGCATAGATAAGTCCAAATTTGAGTCTTGGCGGGATGTAGAAGGAACTTGAAAGTCGTCTGTGGCATTCGGAGTATCTGTGACTGTGTTAGAAATGTGATTACTTTGAACAGTGCTTTCAATATTCGGAAACTCTAAATTTGTTTCTGTTGTTACAGGTGTGTCAGTCACACTTGTTGTGATTTCATTATCCGCATTTTCCGCGCAAATCCTTTCGATGTCTTCCTCAGTATTGATATTATTAATTTCTGATTCAGGAATTCCAATTGATAAAAGTCCGACTTGTGCAAAGCAACCAAACATCGCCTCAAAAGGCGAACGACCTATTCCTATTAAAAATAAATTTATAATTTATAATTTATAATTATAATTTTTTATTATTTTAGTAAAAATAAATTTATTATTTTAGTAAAAATAAATTTATTATTTTAGTAAAAATGAATTTATTATTTTAGTAAAAATGAATTTATTATTTTAGTAAAAATAAATTTATTATTTTAGTAAAAATGAATTTATTATTTTAGTAAAAATGAATTTATAATTTTAGTAAAAATGAATTTATAATTTTAGTAAAAATAAATTTATTATTTTAGTAAAAATAAATTTTTTACCTGAGTGAAGCGATCGATTTTTACGGAATTGAACGATATCTAAGGCGTTGGGCCAATCCTTTGAATTGTTCTCTTCCATCCACGCAGACAAAATTTCCTCTATGTCCCTATTAGCCCTTTCTACTGATCCTTGAGACTGACTATGGCGTGGTTTACCATGTACAATCTTTACTTCACTCCACATCTTGTGAAGTTCTGTAATGACAGAATTCACAAATTCCCTTCCATTATCGGAGTGAAGTATTGCAGGTGCACCAAAAAGGGTATAGATTTTCATTAAATTGAAGGAAATTTCTTCTGCTCTTTTGGATTTAAGCGGACGCAAGTTCACAAATTTGGTTAAGTGGTCTTGGTAAACCATAATGAATTTGAACCCATTGTGCTCTTGCGACTGCATGTCGATTAGGTCTAGCTGTGCCCTGGAGTTGTAAGCGGAATGCAAAATAGGTTTTGAAACTAAGCCTCTCTTTTTATTCGAACTTTTTTTTTGGCACACGACGCATAATTTTAAGAACTCCATAATGCACTCTCTTGTCACGTTGCAGTATAGTTTTTTGCACTCATATTCCATTCTGTTTCTGCCTCCATGTCCAATCGAAGAATGTGTGTTCCAAAGAACTTCAAATAAATCTTCATTTTTAATATAATAAATAATTTTGTCATTACCACTATTTATAGGTTTCATTAATTTCTGTTGATCATTTACAGAAATTATGTCAAAGCGTCGTAAAAACCTACATTCATTTGATGTCTTCTTTTCTTTTACTTTTAAACTTTCCACTTTTTTAACACACTCTTCATATTCAACGGAAGAAATAAATGCACTATTATCGTTGCGTTTTTTAGAAATTAATTCATTTAAAATTTCATTAAACCGTATTTGATTGGAAATATCCATGATAATCAATATTAAATTCGCGACGATAATTAACGACAGATAGTTTCAAACTAATCGAAATTATTTGTCTTTATACTACAGAGAGTAGGAAGCTGTCGAAATTTGATTGCAGTACAATAGATGTAAATTTTGTATACGTTATTGTTGTGTGATTAGCTTTGTATATATCATGACGTATGAAGCTATTATATAAAATTTTCGACATTGCCCAAGTTGGACCGGGCAATGTCGACATTGCCCGGAAAGTTAAACGATATGAATATTTTTAGACATTGACCGGGCAATGTCGACAATGCCCAGTGGCCGTGGGCATTGTCGACATTGCCCGGGCATTGTCGACAATGTCCAGTGCCTGTGGGCATTGTCGACAATGCCCAATAATCGACAATGACAGTAACATATATATATATATATATATATTAGGGTGGTCCTTAAAAAGGTTTTTTTCGAATTTCTTTGCTCCCAGGGGCTTAAATGCTTCCAAATTAATAAAAAAAAATTCCCTAAAAATTTGAGCTCTTAATATTAACTTTTAGATAGTCCGCACTCAAACTTAAGTTTAAAAAATTTTTTTTATTTTTTTATTTTTTATTAATTTATTTTGATAAAATTTGGAAGGTGAATCAATACTCAGGAGTATTACGGTCACAAACACCTAAAATCAGACAAAAGGATCTTCAAAAATATCGAAACAAATATTTTTTAGCAATTTTTGAATTTTTGAAAAAAATCGATGATTTTTGTATTTTTATAAATAACTTTTTTATCTATTAATATTTTCATTAATTCTTGTCAAAATTACATTCCTGACATGAAAACAAATCGATTAATGTATGGGGCATTCCAGGCCAAATCGGAAATTATTTTGCTTTTGCATCTTAAATTTGTTTTTTAACATTTTTTTTCTTTTAGTACTCTTTGAAATGAGCTACCTTGATTTTTTTCAAATTTTTTTCATAAAGCGGTTCAGAAGATACAGATTTTTGAAAAATGACGTTTTTAAGGTATTAGTCACGGAGTTGGCTCTGGTCAAAAGTTTACCGGGCCGCTTACTAGAGTGGGGCAGTGAGAGTGAGTGTAATAGTTTAACTCCCCACTCTATTCGTTCGTATGAAAATTCAAATAATTTAGTTAGTTTTTTAACTTTCTGTCTATTGACAGAAAGTTAAAAAAATAACAATTAATAACTATTAATAACTATTTATAGTTTGGCGCGGTCAAAAAATGTCATGTTTTTTTTATTTATTTGTTTCATCTAATTGAATACTTTGGTAGGGGAAGTGCGCCGGTTGTGGGCACCCTCCGGTTGTGGGCACCCCTACGTAAACTTCGACGGCAAGCAGACTTTACTGATCTAAGTATTGCAAGTCGTGTTCGTTGACAATACGGACTTTTCGTATTGATAACGAAACAAATATATGCATTTGTGTAATAGCTGTAAGCATAATAAAGAAAATTTGCATTAAATAAATAAAAAAGTAATTTTGTATTGTTTTCGAAGAGCAACATATGGGTGTAGATTCGTTCAGAAAAAAAGGGTTTAATTTTTTTTTTGCAGTGTTGTCATTATATTTTGTGATTTACCTTCGTGTTTAACCAAAATCCTGCATCACAAAATGTGTTGGTCTTTTTAAAAAATGACTGTCATTCCCGGTTGTGGGCACCTTTATGTTAAGGAGGCTCTACCATCTGACAATGATGAGGACTACTGTCTCATCTATCTAAACTTTCTGCCAAGGAAAGTGACAGCCGCAAACTCCATTAAATGCGATGAATATAGTCGTTCAGTGCATTCGAAGTGCGTTATGTTATGCGTACTAGCTACTTCACATGCAAGCATTATGCTTTTGTTAGCGATGAGCATATAGTGTGAAAACGTGTCATCATTTTTGTTCTTTATCCCAGCAAATTCTCTTAAAATAAAGAAACTTTCATTTCTTCTTTATTTGTGTTGGTTTCCTTTAATATTTTTCCATTTTTAGCGGATTTTTCAAGGGTGCCCACAACCGGGTACAAAATTTTTTTTGTCAAAAAATTCCCATTTCACTAAATTTCTAATAAAACTTTTTTATTTAAAGGAATCAATTTAATTCCTTCACTGACAGTCACCTTAGACCTCTAGCTTTAAATTCGTACACATATATTTGTATAATATGCACATGGACAAATGTTATGAGGCAAAAACAAAAGGGTGCCCACAACCGGAACACTTCCCTTACTTTTGTTTTAAAATCTGACGATTAGTTATCATATAAATAATTATTAAACAAAATCAATACATGCATAGGGTGCTTCCTCCATGCAAAATGTATGAACTTTGAATTCATTTTTTGAAGCTTTGAAACGGTCAAAATTAATGAAATTGGTCTCATTCTGTAGATAAATACTCCAGGAATAAGTATGCAAAATTTGAAAAAATTCTGACGAAAACCATTTTACGCGACTAATACCTTAACGTAAATTTTTTTAAATGCTTATAACTCGGTCAAAAATTGATCAAATTGGACGTTTTTATAATGAAAAGTTTTGTTTTCACGCGTAGTTTTCAATAAAAATATTTAAAAAAATTTTTTAAATACCTAATTTACGATAAGATTTTATAATTTTTAAAATAAAATTTCATTTGTAACAATGTATGTATCAATCAATTTTTTTAAAAATATTTTGTAAGAAACTAGCTGTAAATTAACAATTTTTAAGCCTTGTCTGATCGTGCGAAAACGATGGGATCTATTTAATTTGAAATTTTTAATGTTTATATACACAATGAAAACGGTAGGCCAAAAATCTGGATCTCCTGAACCGCTTTATGAAAAAATTTGAAATCAATCAAGGTAGCTCGTTTCAAAAAGTACTAAAAGAAAAAAAATGTTAAAAAAAAATTTAAGATGCAAAAGCAAAATAATTTCCGATTTGGCCTGGAATGACCCATACATTAATCGATTTGTTTTCATGTCAGGAATGTAATTTTGACAAGAATTAATGAAAATATTAATAGATAAAAAAGTTATTTATAAAAATACAAAAATCATCGATTTTTTTCAAAAATTCAAAAATTGCTAAAAAATATTTGTTTCGATATTTTTAAAGATCCTTTTGTCTGATTTTAGGTGTTTGTGACCGTAATACTCCTGAGTATTGATTCACCTTCCAAATTTTATCAAAATAAATTAATAAAAAATAAAAAAATAAAAAAAATTTTTTAAACTTAAGTTTGAGTGCGGACTATCTAAAAGTTAATATTAAGAGCTCAAATTTTTAGGGAATTTTTTTTTATTAATTTGGAAGCATTTAAGCCCCTGGGAGCAAAGAAATTCGAAAAAAACCTTTTTAAGAACCACCCTAATACTATGTTATAGTGATATAAAGATGAGTTTGTATGTTATTTGGGTTATTTGTAAAAATGCTAAATATATATACAATATTATATAATACAAATATTTCAAATCGAATGAAAAACATTAAATTAAAAAAGATCAAACGAAGGTAGAAAAAAAAAATTTAAAAAAAAAAAAAAAAAAATTTTTTTTAAAAAATTTTAGGGAAAGAAGTCTCTTATATATATTATATATGAGAGACTTCTTTCCCTAAAATTTTTTTTTAAATTTAAAAATTGTTAAAGATACGCCATTTTGAATTTTAATATTAATTTTATAAAATTTTTAATATCTCGAAATATTGTTTGTAGATTTTTATAAAATTTACACATTTTTTAGGTAAAAGTTTGTAATTTGAAATAAAAATAAAGTTAATAAAGAAATTAATTTTTAAATCAAAAATTTTAGGTATATCTCCGGCTGCTACTCTTGAGAAAATTGATTTTCAATAGATTTTCTTCAAGTTTTGAGATAATGTTTCTTTGTAAATATTTAAATTTAATTATTTAATTATTTATTTAATTTATTATTTAATTTAAAATTTAATTATTTAAACTCTTTGCCATGTCAAAAAACGAGATATTGTGGTTGACATTTTTTATTTTTAACATAATCACATGTAAAAGTTAAAGTTTGAACTTCAATATCTCAAAATTTAGCATCGCAAAGGGTTTTCAAATTTTTACCACATTTAAAGGGCACCCGAAGAGATATTTTCTTAAAATTTAAAGAAATTCTATGGAAAAACAATTTTTTCAAGAGTAGCAGCCGGAGGATTCAAATTTTTTTAGCATCGACAAAGATTTTCTATGGTAAAAAGCACAGAAAATTACTGTAGAGCCTTAAAAATTTCCAAAATTGATGAAGAAATTGTCGTTTATCATCAATTTTTCAAAAATTTAGAAACTG